AGAAAAGAGCCGTTTAAATTCTACAACACCTAAAAGGAAGTGATTCCCAAACCTTCCATAACAAAGCCATCACCTACAGAGAGATGAACCTGGAGAAGAGTCCCCTAAGTAAGCTGGTGCTGGGGCTCTGTTCACAAACAGACCCCACAGAGCCCCAGGACAGCAACACAATTAGACCCAACCAAATCATGAGAAAACTAAAAGATAATTACTTGACACATTGGAAAGAATTAACAAAAAAACAGAGCAAACTAGAATGCTATTTGGCCCTAAACAGAGAGTACACAGTGGCAGAATACCTGACCACTGTGACTGACCCAAACTGAAGGAAAGCTTTGACTATGTAAAGACTCAGTGAGCATAGCCTTGCTATTGAGAAAGGCCGCCGTAGGCAGACCTGGCTCTCAAGAGAAGACAGGCTATGTGCACACTGCCCACAAAATGAGGTAGAAACTGAGTGGCACTTTTTAACCTCCTGCCAAATGTATGATCATATTAGAGACACATATTTCCCTCAGATTACACAGACCCACAAAGAATTCCACAACAAATCCAATTTTGATAAACTCCCTTATCTATTGGGTGAAATACCACAGTGTGCCATCACAGCAGCAAGATTTGTGACCTGTTGCCACAAGAAAAGGGCAACCAGTGAAGAACAAACAAATTGTAAATACAACCCATATTTATGTTTATTTACTTTTTCCTTTTGTACTTTAACTATTTGCACATCGTTATAACACTGTGCAAAGACATCATATGAAATGTGTCTATTCCTTTGAAACTTGTGAGTGTAATGTTTACTGTTAATATTTTATACATTATTTCACTTTTGTTTATTATCTATTTCACTTGCGTTGGCAATGTAAACATATGTTTCCCAATGCCAATAAAGCCCTTTGAATTGAATTGAATTGAGAGGGGGGGGGGGGGGGGGGGGGGGGGGGGGGGGGGGAGTATGTGTGTGTGTGTGTGTGTGTGTGTGTGTGTGTGTGTGTGTGTGTGTGTGTGTGTGTGTGTGTGTGTGTGTGTGTGTGTGTGTGTGTGTGAGATAGGGTAAAGTCTCCATATCCGAACGTATTGGTTGTACATTTTCCAGTGTGCTATGTGTTATTCCAGTGTAGTAGGTTTGGCTATGTGTTATTCCAGTGTAGTAGGTTTGGCTATGTGTTATTCCAGTGTAGTAGGTTTGGCTATGTGTTATTCCAGTGTAGTAGGTTTGGCTATGTGTTATTCCAGTTGTAGTAGGTTTGGCTATGTGTTATTCCAGTGTAGTAGGTTTGGCTATGTGTTATTCCAGTGTAGTAGGTTTGGCTATGTGTTATTCCAGTGTAGTAGGTTTGGCTATGTGTTATTCCAGTGTAGTAGGTTTGGCTATGTGTTATTCCAGTGTAGTAGGTTTTACCTGAGCGTAGATGAGGCACTGTAGAGTCGACTGGGGGGTTCCCTTCAGCACGTTCACAGCATTTCCCTGCCACATAGACCTCACACCACCTGCCTTTAGCTCTCTGAATCCCTGAGAGAATGCCTTGGATCCATACACCTAAATACACACACACACACACACACACACACACACACACACACACACACACACGATCTTATTTTATTATGAACCTCTGTCTCCAGTTCATGGATTCATGGTTCATACAGGGAACTGCCAAAACAAAGGAAACACCCACATAAAGTGTCTTAACAGGGCGGGGACACCATGAGCTTCAATTAGCAACGGTCAAAATAAATAAATATGAAAACAATTCTAAGAAATGGAACAGTTGGACAATGGATGAAGATACTCCAAACTTCTAGAATTTTATAATCCATCGGATATTGACTTAATTATAGCACATAAAATATTTTACTGGCACGGACAAATAATGAAGTTCAGGGATTTTGGTGGGAATTCAGGTATTCAATTTATAGTTTAAAATATTTTTATATACTAATATATACATTTTCTTACTGTATCAGCCATTTTTTAAATATGTTGTGTAAAAATAAAGAAAATGATATGTGCCCAATTTGCATAAATACACTGGGTGTATTTGAATATATCAATACATTAACATAAAGGGTTGGAACAGGGCTGTAACCACCAAACACTTGCTCTGTCTACCCTACCTGCCCTGTCTAGACTGCCTCATTAATTACTGTTGTGGTCACGTCCTCTTGCATAATTCAACAGGTGTGTCAATAGCAGGATACCCTCCGATAGAAAATCAACACGCTTGGATCTAGATTACACCCATCTAAACATACAGAACCAGTCAAAAGTTTGGACACATCATTCAAGGGTTTTTCTTAATTTTTACTATTTTCTACATTGTAGAATAATAGTGAAGACATCAAAACTATGGAATAACACTACATGGACTACATGATTCCATATGTGTTATTTCATAGTTTTGATGTCTTCACTATTATTCTACAATGTAGAAAATAGTTTTAAAAAATAGTTTTAAAAAATAAAGAAAAACCCTTGAATGAGTGTGTCCAAACGTTTGACTGGTTCTATACTTTTTACTGTTCTAATTACGTTGGTAACCAGTTTATAATAGCAATAAGGCACCTCAGGGGTTTGTGGTATATGGCCAATATACCACGGCTAAGGGCTATGTCCAAAGAACAGTCCTTAGTCGTGGTATATTGGCCATATACCACACCTCCTCATGCTTTATTGCTTAATCATAGCAGTCAAAACAAGTTAAATCAACATCCATTGTTGGAAAATAATCTGGAAAGTTTAATAAGGGCGATTTATCTTTTCTCTTGCGACATATAAACCCGCAAATAATTATTATTTTGATGGAAAACCGAATTTAGCTTCATAGCCTACGTCGTTAAAAATGCAGTGGATATTCCTTCTTAATTCGCTCAATAACGTTATGGAAAAAGGGTTTATTGGATAAATGTGGCAACTCTCTTGCGGCGGAAAAAAAATTGGGCTACTTTTCAGGCCTTTCAGGTCTCAGGTTTTTTTTGGGATAGCAATTTTAGCTAGACCTGGCAACCCTGCCATCAAATCCAATTGAGAGCAAACATCATTGACAGAAAAACTTGAATTGTTGCATCTCGTTGTGTTGTTGTCCTCCGGTGGCCAGCTAGCTAAAATTGTCCCTTTCCTAAATTAGCCATGGATGGAGATAGGGATTTGGACTTGTGGTTTTACTTAATTCTCCGTACTGGCCAATGATTATACTGGCAATTCTGATCCAACCATTAATTCATACATTGTTGTGCCCCTGGCCTGAGAGGATGGAAGTTCAATATGTAGAAGGCTAATATAACTAGCTAACGTTGCCCATGAAACGAAGTTAGGCTAGCGAGCAAGAATTTTTGCCAGGTAGCTTAGGACAACAAAAAATAACAGTGTGTACTGTATGACAAGAGTGATAGACCGTTTCATCAACATGAAAGAGAGGAGGATGGCATTGGCGTTGGAGTCAACATGTTTTTTCTACTTGCGCGGAAAATGCTGTCAGGCGCCGCTCCAGAAACTCCCATAAGTGTTCAGTTGGGTTGAGATCTGGTGACTGAGACGGCCATTGCATATGGTTTACATCGTTTCCATGCTCATCAAACCGTTCAGTGACCACTCCTGCCCTGTGGATGGGGGCGTTGTCATCCTACGGGGGCATAGTCATGGTAGCCAAAATAATGACCTGCTCAGCCTTTTTATACATGACCCTAAGCATGATGGGATGTTAATTGCTTAATTAACTCAGGAACCACACCTGTGTGGAAGCACCTGCTTTCAATATACTCTGTATCCTTCATTTACTCAAGTGTTTCCATTATTTTGGCAGCTACCTGTAGGTCTCTACTGTTCATTGCTGTAGGGTTCGAGTTAGGGTTAATTTCTGAACCATGTGAATATGAGACTACAAAGTTTGGCAATGCAAAGTGTTACTGGGTGTTATCAAGCTGTATCAAAGAAGTGTTTAGGTTATTATAGTGTTCCTGTAGCTGTGTCTTGAGGCGGTCGATGGGAGCAGTCAGTGTTCTGGACACGGCGTCGGCCAGCCCTGCAGCCAGGACGAAACTCCTCCACAGCCCCGAGCCTGCTGACACGTCCTGGGGCAGCTCCATGGGCATGGTCCGGCTCTCACCCACGTCAAACACCTGGAGAGGCCGACAGGCAGACCACATCAAACACCTGGAGAAGCGGACAGAGACTAATCAAACCTGGAGAGTGACAATAGACTTACATCAACACTGAGAAGTGATCTAGGACTACATAACACCGGGATCCGGACAGGCTGACTACATCAACCTGGAGAATGACAGGCTGCTACATCAACTGGAGAAGCGCAGTGCTGGACTACCTCACAACACCTGGAGCAAGCGACAGACAGACTACTCCAACACCCTGGAGAAGCGGACAGGCGATACATCAATACACTGGAAGCTGGCAGGCTGATCACATCAAACACCTGGAGAGCTCGACAGGCTGACTACATCAAACACCTGGAGAAGCTGACAGGCTGACTACATCAAACACCTGGAGAAGCTGACAGGATACATAACACTGGAGCTGACAGCTGATCATCAAACACCTGGAGAAGCGGACAGGCAGACTACATCAAACACCGACCCGACAGGCTGACTACATCAAACACCTGGAGAAGCTGACAATCAGACTACATCAAACACCTGGAGAAGCTGACAGGCAGACTACATCAAACACCTGGAGAAGCTGACAGGCAGACTACATCAAACACCTGGAGAAGCTGACAGGCTGACTACATCAAACACCTGGAGAGGCGGACAGGCAGACCACATCAAACACCTGGAGAAGCTGACAGGCTGACTACATCAAACACCTGGAGAAGCTGACAGGCTGACTACATCAAACACCTGGAGAGGCGGACAGGCAGACTACATCAAACACCTGGAGAAGCTGACAGGCAGACTACATCAAACACCTGGAGAAGCTGACAGGCTGACTACATCAAACACCTGGAGAAGCTGACAGGCTGACTACATCAAACACCTGGAGAAGCTGACAGGCTGACTACATCAAACACCTGGAGAAGCTGACAGGCTGACTACATCAAACACCTGGAGAGGCGGACAGGCAGACCACATCAAACACCTGGAGAAGCTGACAGGCTGACTACATCAAACACAGACCCGACAGACAGACTCCTTCAACAGGGGCTTCAGACCCAGCATACTATGTATGATCCGCTACACTGGGGTGGAGTGTGCCAACACACATACACACACACACACACACACACACACACACACACACACACACACACACACACACACACACACACACACACACACACACAGCAGACTACATCACACAAGGACTACAGCAGGGTTTGAATTTTCATTGTAGGACATAAAAGACTGTAGAAACAGCAGGAAATCAGCTCCAAGTGATTTACATTTATGAAATCTGTTCCCAAGTATTCCCACGCATAATAGAGAGACACGTGATCGTATACAAATGTAAGCAAGGTTTAAAACGATTATGTTTTAGTCAAATATTATATCTGTTTGTGCTTCTTGCGGTCAATTTGCCGTCTACAAATTATTTGTAATTATGTTCCTGCGGCTGAATCAAGTTGATGATCCCTGGACTACAGTGTGACTAACTGGGTTTGAACCCGGGTCGTCTGCGCACCGCAATACTGCGTAAGGCATTAGCTCAGGGAGCTAACACAATTCCTCTGGTCTCGAGCACTTCAAGCGCCATCTAATGATGATCTTCATGCTATGGGGCTCTAGGAAGCTAGGCTTTCCATCAAAACAAGGACTGCAAGTGTGACAGGATGGTCTCCTGTTCACTACAAGACTGTGTTAGGCCTCTGAGCTAAAAGGCTAGGCATTAGCCCTATGAAGGCTCAGGGAAACGAGACCCATGTCTTCAGCGTCTCACCAGAGTGTGTTTCCATGAAGTGACCAGTTCTCCCAGGTTCTCTGCAGGGTTGAGGATGACGTGCTGTAGGAACTCTCCCCAGTCCACGGTCATAGAGCTGTCCTCATCCATCCTGTCAACGACAACAGAGACATCAACAACATCAACAATGACGATAATGGGTCTGTGTGATGCTATTCAATCAATTAATAAACACATTGACAAAGTAACGGATCCTCTAAGCGGCCATATTCTACAGGTCTGTCCTGTGTTGTAGATTTGATCAAATTGTGCCCAAATATAATAATTGCATTGGAGTGTTTGTGTGAATAGTGTTAAAGTAGACGTTAAGTCTGTCAATACATGCAATTAATTTGTTATTACATAATTATCAATATTATCACCACGTTGTTGCAATGTAATAACCAACAGAGCGACCAGTGAGGTGGATAGGTAGGGGGCAAAAGGTAATGTAATAACCAACAGGGACCAGTGAGGTGGATAGGTAGGGGGCAAAAGGTAATGTAATAACCAACAGAGCGACCAGTGAGGTGGATAGGTAGGGGGCAAAAGGTAATGTAATAACCAACAGAGCGACCAGTGAGGTGGATAGGTAGGGGGCAAAAGGTAATGTAATAACCAACAGAGTGACCAGTGAGGTGGATAGGTAGGGGGCAAAAGGTAATGTAATAACCAACAGAGCGACCAGTGAGGTGGATAGGTAGGGGGCAAAAGGTAATGTAATAACCAACAGAGCGACCAGTGAGGTGGATAGATAGGGGGGTCAAAAGGTAATGTAATAACCACAGAGCGACCAGTGAGGTGGATAGATAGGGGGCAAAAGGTAATGTAATAACCAACAGAGCGACCAGTGAGGTGGATAGGTAGGGGGCAAAAGGTAATGTAATAACCAACAGAGCGACCAGTGAGGTGGATAGGTAGGGGGCAAAAGGTAATGTAATAACCAACAGAGCGACCAGTGAGGTGGATAGGTAGGGGGCAAAAGGTAATGTAATAACCAACAGAGCGACCAGTGAGGTGGATAGGTAGGGGCAAAAGGTAATGTAATAACCAACAGAGCGACCAGTGAGGTGGATAGGTAGGGGGCAAAAGGTAATGTAATAACCAACAGAGCGACCAGTGAGGTGGATAGGTAGGGGGCAAAAGGTAATGTAATAACCAACAGAGCGACCAGTGAGGTGGATAGGTAGGGGGCAAAAGGTAATGTAATAACCAACAGAGCGACCAGTGAGGTGGATAGGTAGGGGGCAAAAGGTATGTAATAACCAACAGGCGACCAGTGAGGTGGATAGGTAGGGGGGCAAAAGGTAATGTAATAACCAACAGAGCGACCAGTGAGGTGGATAGGTAGGGGGTAAAAAGGTAATGTAATAACCAACAGAGCGACCAGTGAGGTGGATAGGTAGGGGGCAAAAGGTAATGTAATAACCAACAGAGCGACCAGTGAGGTGGATAGGAGGGGGCAAAAGGTAATGTAATAACCAACAGAGCGACCAGTGAGGTGGATAGGTAGGGGGCAAAAGGTATGTAATAACCAACAGAGCGACCAGTGAGGTGGATAGGTAGGGGGCAAAGGTAATGTAATAACCAACAGAGCGACCAGTGAGGTGGATAGGTAGGGGGCAAAAGGTAATGTAATAACCAACAGAGCGACCCAGTGAGGTGGATAGGTAGGGGGCAAAGGTAATGTAATAACCACAGAGCGACCAGTGAGGTGGATAGGTAGGGGGCAAAAGGTAATGTAATAACCAACAGAGCGACCAGTGAGGTGGATAGGTAGGGGGCAAAAGGTAATGTAATAACCAACAGAGCGACCAGTGAGGTGGATAGGTAGGGGGCAAAAGGTAATGTAATAACCATCAGAGCGACCAGTGAGGTGGATAGGTAGGGGGTAAAAGGTAATGTAATAACCAACAGAGCGACCAGTGAGGTGGATAGGTAGGGGGCAAAAGGTAATGTAATAACCAACAGAGCGACCAGTGAGGTGGATAGGTAGGGGGCAAAAGGTAATGTAATAACCAACAGAGGCGACCAGTGAGGTGGATAGGTAGGGGGCAAAAGGTAATGTAATAACCAACAGAGCGACCAGTGAGGTGGATAGGTAGGGGGGCAAAAGGTAATGTAATAACCAACAGAGCGACCAGTGAGGTGGATAGGTAGGGGGCTAAAAGGTAATGTAATAACCAACAGAGCGACCAGTGAGGTGGATAGTAGGGGGCAAAAGGTAATGTAATAACCAACAGAGCGACCAGTGAGGTGGATAGGTAGGGGGGTAAAAGGTAATGTAATAACCAACAGAGCGACCAGTGAGGTGGATAGGTAGGGGGGCAAAAGGTAATGTAATAACCAACAGAGCGACCAGTGAGGTGGATAGGTAGGGGGCAAAAGGTAATGTAATAACCAACAGAGCGACCAGTGAGGTGGATAGGTAGGGGGCAAAAGGTAATGTAATAACCAACAGAGCGACCAGTGAGGTGGATAGGTAGGGGGCAAAAGGTAATGTAATAACCAACAGAGCGACCAGTGAGGTGGATAGGTAGGGGGCAAAAGGTAATGTAATAACCAACAGAGCGACCAGTGAGGTGGATAGGTAGGGGGCAAAAGGTAATGTAATAACCAACAGAGCGACCAGTGAGGTGGATAGGTAGGGGGCAAAAGGTAATGTAATAACCACAGAGCGACCAGTGAGGTGGATAGGTAGGGGGCAAAAGGTAATGTAATAACCAACAGAGCGACCAGTGAGGTGGATAGGTAGGGGGTAAAAGGTAATGTAATAACCACAAGCGACCAGTGAGGTGGATAGGTAGGGGGTAAAAGGTAATGTAATAACCAACAGAGCGACCAGTGAGGTGGATAGGTAGGGGGCAAAAGGTAATGTAATAACCAACAGAGCGACCAGTGAGGTGGATAGGTAGGGGGCAAAAGGTAATGTAATAACCAACAGAGCGACCAGTGAGGTGGATAGGTAGGGGGCAAAAGGTAATGTAATAACCAACAGAGCGACCAGTGAGGTGGATAGGTAGGGGGCAAAAAGGTAATGTAATAACCAACAGGCGACCAGTGAGGTGGATAGGTAGGGGGCAAAAGGTAATGTAATAACCAACAGGGACCTGAGTGGATAGGTAGGGGAAAAGTAATGTAATAACACAGAGCGACCAGTGAGGTGGATAGGTAGGGGGAAAAGGTAATGTATAACCAACAGAGCGACCAGTGAGGTGGATAGGTAGGGGGTAAAAGGTAATGTAATAACCAACAGGGACCAGTGAGGTGGATAGGTAGGGGGTAAAAGGTAATGTAATAACCAACAGAGCGACCAGTGAGGTGGATAGGTAGGGGGCAAAAGGTAATGTAATAACCAACAGAGCGACCAGTGAGGTGGATAGGTAGGGGGCAAAAGGTAATGTAATAACCAACAGAGCGACCAGTGAGGTGGATAGGTAGGGGGCAAAAGGTAATGTAATAACCAACAGAGCGACCAGTGAGGTGGATAGGTAGGGGGCAAAAGGTAATGTAATAACCAACAGGGACCAGTGAGGTGGATAGGTAGGGGGCAAAAGGTAATGTAATAACCAACAGAGTGACCAGTGAGGTGGATAGGTAGGGGGCAAAAGGCACTCTTACATTTGTATTATTCTTTTTGCATTCGGCTTTGATATGTTCACTCCCAACTCCTTAAACAGATCTATGATTTCCTCCTGGCCAATGACCCCTAGTCAGAGAAGACAACATGACCCCCTAGTCAGAGAAGACGACATGGGTAGAAACACAGCATGGATCATGTCAAATATGAATATTTTATCAAGCGTCTCAGTGTAGAAGTGCTGATCTATGATCGGTTTGACCTTTTAGATCATACACTCTTAGAGGAAGTGGTTCTATTAAGCAATAAGGCCCGAGGGGGTGTGGTATATGGCCAATATACCACGGCTAAGGGCTGTTCTTACGCACGACGCAACAGAGAGTGCCTGGACACAGCCCTTAGCCATGGTATATTGGCAATATATGCAAAAAAAAACGTAGGTGCCTTATTGTTATTATAAACTGTTTACCAACGTAATTAGAGCAGTAAAAATAAATGTTTTGTCATACCCGTGGTATACGGTCTGATATACCACAGCTGTCAGCCAATCAGCATTCAGGGCTCGAACCACCCAGTTTATAATATAGAATGAACCCTATTTCTAAGAGTGTAAGGAATCCGATTATTATGGACAGTCAGGGAGGACCTGATCCTGGATCAGCCCTCCTACTCTGAGATGTTTAGGAGTTTCTAATATCGTCTATAGACAGAGAAAGAGTTAGTTAAGAGTAGCCAGAATGCCAGTCTGTTTGTGCTGTCATGGCAACTCCGTGTCAATTATTAACATGCCAACCCCGTGTCAATTATTAACATGCCAACCCCGTGTCAATTATTAACATGCCAACCCCTTGTCAATTATTAACATGCCAACCCCTTGTCAATTATTAACATGCCAACCCCTTGTCAATTATTAACATGCCAACTCCTTGTCAATTATTAACATGCCAACCCCTTGTCAATTATTAACATGCCAACCCCTTGTCAATTATTAACATGCCAACCCCTTGTCAATTATTAACATGCCAACCCCTTGTCAATTATTAACACGCCAACCCCTTGTCAATTATTAACACGCCAACCCCTTGTCAATTATTAACATGTCAACTCCTTGTCAATTATTAACATGCCAACTCCTTGTCAATTATTAACATGCCAACCCCTTGTCAATTATTAACATGCCAACCCCTTGTCAATTATTAACATGCCAACTCCTTGTCAATTATTAACATGCCAACCCCTTGTCAATTATTAACATGCCAACCCCTTGTCAATTATTAACATGCCAACCCCGTGTCAATTATTAACATGCCAACCCCTTGTCAATTATTAACATGCCAACCCCTTGTCAATTATTAACATGCCAACCCCTTGTCAATTATTAACATGCCAACCCCTTGTCAGTTATTAACACGCCAACCCCTTGTCAATTATTAACATGCCAACCCCTTGTCAATTATTAACATGCCAACCCCTTGTCAATTATTAACATGCCAACCCTGTGTCGATTATTAACATGCCAACCCCGTGTCAATTATTAACATGCCAACCCCTTGTCAATTATTAACATGCCAACCCCTTGTCAATTATTAACATGCCAACCCCGTGTCAATTATTAACATGCCAACTCCTTGTCAATTATTAACATGCCAACTCCTTGTCAATTATTAACACGCCAACTCCTTGTCAATTATTAACATGTCAACTCCTTGTCAATTATTAACATGCCAACTCCTTGTCAATTATTAACATGCCAACTCCGTGTCAATTATTAACATGCCAACTCCTTGTCAATTATTAACATGCCAACCCCTTGTCAATTATTAACATGCCAACTCCTTGTCAATTATTAACACGCCAACTCCTTGTCAATTATTAACATGCCAAACCTGAAAATTCAGTAAGGAGAGACCCAGGTGAGGTTGAGAGACAGACAGACAGACAGACAGACAGACAGGCAGGCAGGCAGGCAGGCAGGCAGGCAGGCCTAAGGGCTACTGTGCAAAACAAAGACAAAAGCGTGCTCAGAATGTCCTCTATGACCTTGGAATACCCCTGTCCCGGGGTGGGCCCTAAGATTAGCCTACCTGCTTTTTATGCTACCGAAGATTGGACCACCCCACCACTCGACTTACCGCATTCATTCTTGTCAAGGGCATTAAAGTGAATTCTCCACTTCTTCTCTCTGTCCCTCATATAGCTTAGGAACTCGTCATAATCTAAACGTCCATCCTTGTTTCGGTCATAGTTATTAACGATAATCTGGAAAAGTTAAAAAAGGCACTATATCATTTTGGCTGCACAATATCAATAGACATTAGACGTACATGTTGACTCTCCAGTTATGCGGCTGGTAAATTACAATAGGCCTCACATTTAATTTATATTAATTATAAAATATTGCAATAAATAAATACCTGAGCCTTCTGATCTGCAGCCAGAATTCCAGTTTTTTTCATCTCATTGTGAAGTTCTTCCACTGATATAGACCCGTCGTTATTCTTGTCTAGTTTCACAAACAAACCACGAAACTGATCCATGATTCTTCAATGATACATATTTTTTATGACAATAAATATTGAAATGCATATATATATATATATATATATATATAGCATCAATTCTCTTCTGTCTTAGTACTACTGCAACTACAGGCTATTAAGGTGCAAAGGCAATGAGCTTTCTTTTCTTTCTTTGCATGTGAACGCTGAGTCATTAGCACCGGCAGCCCGAGTGAGCATGTCTTCACCGGCAGCCCGAGTGAGCATGTCTTCACCGGCAGCCCGAGTGAGCATGTCTTCAACGTGGTAGATGCTCCTCTATGGCACTAGAGATGATGATGACGCGGTACCCTACTGTAAAGATACGAGCCTGCACTTCCACCACTGTCCACCAGAAGTAGTAGCGCTGTGCACAGACAAACTGACCGGCCACTGGTCCAGTCGGTGTATTTCCCTCATCTATTTCAGATGAAGGAGTGCGGGCCACCAGGGCCCAAATAAAAATAGACTATGACAACTTGACCCATGACAAAAAAAACGTCCCAATCTAACTCCCTGGTCTATAATTGGGCTCCCGAGTGGCGCAGCGGTCTAAGGCACTGCATCTCTGTGCTTGAGGCGTCACTACAGAATTTGTTCTTAACCGACTTGCCTAGTTAAATAAAGGTAAAATAAATTAAAAATGATAATCATTCTCTGTTGGGTGATGTATAGGACTAGCTGTTAAAATGGTTCACCCTTTATGTTATCCAAGGTCAGAGGTCCAGTATTGTTTCAGAACACTGACATGCTGAAATGGTCCAGAGATGGGGAGTTGGTCGGGGAGGGGACAGCACAGAGGTCAGTGTCTGGGGGTCATACAGAAGGAATATGGGTCATAGTTCATTCAGGCCTAGTTCTATCGACCTTGTACCGGAAAACAGCAGCACCCTATTCCCTATGTAGTGCACTACTTTTGTGTCGTTTGGGACAAGACTCATAGTGGGCCCTATGGGTCAGAGTTAATTTTGGCCTAGTTCTATTTACCTCGTACAGGAGAACAGTCAGTGGGTCTTTCTGTGTAGGTTATGTAACAAGAAGGGATCACTCTGAGATAGGTATGGGCCATAGGTTAGTGTCTTCCTGAAGTGTTGGCTACCGACATTAAAAAAACGGAATCCTCAACAGATTAATCCGCACCCCCCCCCCCCCCAAAAAAAAAAAACGAAGAAAAAAACGGGATTTTTGCACCTCAACAGATTAATCCCCAAAAAAGAGCCGAATATGGGAAATGACGTGCCTCAACAGCATTACAGTTCTAGAAAGAGCCCCTGGATTCCAGCGAGCAGAGAGAGCATGCCAGTGGGGTCGGTCTCAGGGGAGGGGAGCCAAGGGCCACGGCTGTTTAAAGTGGGTCTATATCGGGATGTGGATAAATATCACGGGGTCCACAGCGCTGAGTAACCACTCTCTAAACGTAGCTGCTCACTGTTCAACTGCCTGCCCGTGTGTCCGTGTCTGGCTGACACTGATATTATTGTTGAGAGTCGCGGAGAGAGCAGCCGTTACATTTTCCACTTGCCGCCATATCAGAGGGGTCTCTCTCTCTCTCTCTCCTGGATATATTTCCATAGCGGATTGACTGACTGACAGGCAGCGTCCGTCGAACAGCAGCCGGTTCTCTTCTCTCCAGCGTGAGGCCGCTTCCGGGAAACTATGGGGAAAGATTATTATAAAATCCTGGGGATAGTGAAAGGAGCCGCCGACGAGGACATCAAAAAGGCGTACAGAAAACAGGCTCTGAAATGGCACCCGGACAAAAACAAGGCGGCCAACGCCGAGGAGAAATTTAAGGAGATCGCCGAGGCATATGAAGTCCTCAGTGATCCGAAGAAAAGGGAGATATATGATCAGTATGGAGAAGAAGGTAGGCTAATATGACACTCTCCACCTTTCATCATAGTCTTCTTATTTTGATTGGCCGGTTTTCATGTAATTTCACCCACCGCATCATGGAGCGCGCACATCAGAAGGTGTTGTTGCTGTGCGTATAATATAATGGTCCATTATCCAATACAGACCGACATTTTAACCACACTGGTTAGAGAAGACAACAGCATTTCACTCTCATTTTATTTATTAATAACATTTACTATTATAATAAACCAATAAGCTGTTATTTTCCTTTTGTCATGGTGCCATATCAGTCTGTCCATAAGCAGACATGGCTCTTGGTTGTTCAGAAATATATAACAGGAATTCTTTGCAAAGATAATGTGAGACTGTATTATTATTACTGTCAATCCACTGACCTGGAGACATCCAGCTATACTGCCAATCCACTGACCTGGAGACATCCAGCTATACTGCCAATCCACTGACCTGGAGACATCCAGCTATACTGTCAATCCCACTGACCTGGAGACAATCCAGCTATACTGCCAATCCACTGACCTGGAGACATCCAGCTATCACTGGCCAATCCAACTGACCTGGAGACATCCAGCTATACTGCCAATCCACTGACCTGGAGACATCCAGCTATACTGCCCAATCCACTGACCTGGAGACATCCAGCTATAACCTGCCAATCCACTGACCTGGAGACATCCAGCTATACTGCCAATCCACTGACCTGGAGACATCCAGCTATACTGCCAATCCACTGACCTGGAGACATCCAGCTATACTGCCAATCCACTGACCTGGAGACATCCAGCTATACTGCCAATCCACTGACCTGGAGACATCCAGCTATACTGCCAATCCACTGACCTGGAGACATCAGCATACTGCCATCCACTAGACTCCAATCTCACCACTGACCTGGAGACATCCAGCTATACTGCCAATCCACTGACCTGGAGACATCCAGCTATACTGCCAATCCACTGACCTGGAGACATCCAGCTTACTGCCAATCCACTGACCTGGAGACATCCAGCTATACTGCCAATCCACTGACCTGGAGAATCCAGCTATACTGCCAATCCACTGACCTGGAGACATCCAGCTATACTGCCAATCCACTGACCTGGAGACATCCAGCTATACTGCCAATCCACTGACCTGGAGACATCCAGCTATACTCCAATCCATGACCTGGAGACATCCAGCTATACTGCCAATCCACTGACCTGGAGACATCCAGCTATACTGCCAATCCACTGACCTGGAGACATCCAGCTATACTGCCAATCCACTGACCTGGAGACATCCAGCTATACTGCCAATCCACTGACCTGGAGACATCCAGCTATACTGCCAATCCACTGACCTGGAGACATCCAGCTATACTGGCCAATCCACTGACCTGGAGACATCCAGCTATACTGCCAATCCACTGACCTGGAGACATCCAGCTATACTGCCAATCCACTGACCTGGAGACATCCAGCTATACTGCCAATCCACTGACCTGGAGACATCCAGCTATACTGCCAATCCACTGACCTGGAGACATCCAGCTATACTGCCAATCCACTGACCTGGAGACATCCAGCTATACTGCCAATCCACTGACCTGGAGACATCCAGCTATACTGCCAATCCACTGACCTGGAGACATCCAGCTATACTGCCAATCCACTGACCTGGAGACATCCAGCTATACTGCCAATCCACTGACCTGGAGACATCCAGCTATAATGCCATGTGCTTAGAAATGTATTATTCTCTGTATTGTACAGTATAGACCTGGATCAAATACATTTATGGCAAATATTCCGGCACATTTGACTAAGACTATCCCATTGGACTGTTCCATTGGTCCAATCGACTAGGACTATTCCATTGGTCCCACTGACTAGGACTATTCCATTGGTCCCATCGACTAGGACTATTCCATTGGTCCCACTGACTAGGACTATTCCATTGGTCCCACTGACTAGGCCTATCCCATTGGTCCCATTGACTAGGACTATCCCATTGGTCCCACTGACTAGGACTATCCCATTGGTCCCATTGACTAGGACTATCCCATTGGTCCCATTGACTAGGACTATTCCATTGGTCCCATTGACTAGGACTATCCCATTGGTCCCATTGACTAGGACTATCCCATTGGTCCCATTGACTAGGACTATTCCATTGGTCCCACTGACTAGGACTATTCCATTGGTCCCACAGACTAGGACTATCCCATTGGACTGTTCCATTGGTCCCACTGACTAGGACTATCCCATTGGACTATCCCATTGGTCCCATTGACTAGGACTATCCCATTGGTCCCACTGACTAGGACTATTCCATTGGTCCCATTGACTAGGACTATCCCATTGGTCCCATTGACTAGGGTTATCCCAATGGTCCCATTGACTAGAACTATCCCATTGGTCCCATTGACTAGGACTATCCCATTGGTCCCACTGACTAGGACTATCCCATTGGTCCCATTGACTAGGACTATCCCATTGGTCCCACTGACTAGGACTATCCCATTGGTCCCACAGACTAGGACTATTCCATTGGTCCCATTGACTAGGACTATTCCATTGGTCCCACTGACTAGGACTATCCCATTGGTCCCACTGACTAGGACTATCCCATTGGTCTCATCTACTAGGACTATCCCATTGGTCCCATTGACTAGGACTATTCCATTGGTCCCACTGACTAGGACTATTCAATTGGTCCCACTGACTAGGACTATCCCATTGGTCCCATTGACTAGGACTATCCCATTGGTCCCATTGACTAGGACTATTCCATTGGTTCCACTGACTAGGACTATCCCATTGGTCCCACTGACTAGGACCATCCCATTGGTTCCACTGACTAGGACTATTCCATTGGTTCCACTGACTAGGACTATTCCATTGGTCCCACTGACTAGGACTATTCCATTGGTTCCACTGACTAGGACTATCCCATTGGTCCCACTGACTAGGACTATTCCATTGGTCCCACTGACTAGGGTTATCCCATTGGTCCCACTGACTAGGACTATTCCATTGGTCCCACTGACTAGGACTATCCCATTGGTCCCATTGACTAGCACTATCCCATTGGTCCCACTGACTAGGACTATTCCATTGGTCCCACTGACTAGGACTATCCCATTGGTCCCATTGACTAGGACTATCCCATTGGTCCCATTGACTAGGACTATCCCATTGGTTCCACTGACTAGGACTATCCCATTGGTCCCATTGACTAGGACTATTCCATTGGTCCCACTGACTAGGGCTATCCCATTGGTCCCATCGACTAGGACTATCCCATTGGTCCCATTGACTAGGACTATTCCATTGGTCCCACCGACTAGGACTATTCCATTGGTCCCACTGACTAGGACTATCCCATTGGACTGTTCCATTGGTCCCACTGACTAGGACTATCCCATTGGACTATCCCATTGGTCCCATTGACTAGGACTATTCCATTGGTCCCATTGACTAGGACTATCCCATTGGTCCCATTGACTAGGACTATTCCATTGGTCCCACTGACTAGGACTATCCCATTGGACTGTTCCATTGGTCCCACTGACTAGGACTATCCCATTGGACTGTCCCATTGGTCCCACTGACTAGGACTATCCCATTGGACTGTCCCATTGGTCCCACTGACTAGGACTATCCCATTGGTCCCATTGACTAGGACTATCCCATTGGACTGTTCCATTGGTCCCACTGACTAGGACTATCCCATTGGACTGTCCCATTGGTCCCACTGACTAGGACTATTCCATTGGTCCCACTGACTAGGACTATCCCATTGGTCCCATTGACTAGGACTATCCCATTGGTCCCACTGTAGGCAGCCGGGCAAACTCAAGTGAAGCTCAAGCAGGCAATGTCAGAGTAATTGATGTAGCCTACATGTATGTATTTGACCAATGTCTAGTAGCCTATAGGACAGCAAGTTATCAGCATTATCTGAATGGTTCCTGACTCAAAGGAGCCTATCAATACATATCAGCATTACCTATCAATACATAGGTTATGAGAACTATCTATCAATACATATCAGCACTATCTATCAATACATAGATATCATTATCTATTGTTATCAGTATTATCTATCAATGCATAGGTTATAATAATTATCGATACAAAGGTTATCATCATTATCAATACAAAAGCTAAATCATTATCAATACTATGGTTATCATCATTATCAATACATAGGTTATCAAATGATCTATCAATACATAAGTTATCAGCATTATCTATCAATACATATCAGCATTATCTAACAATACATAAGTTATCGGCATTATCTATCGGTACATATCATCATTATCTATCAATACATAGGTTTTTCAGCATTATCTATCAATACATAAGTTATCGGCATTATCTATCGGTACATATCATCATTATCTATCAATACATAGGTTTTTCAGCATTATCTATCAATACATAAGTTATCGGCATTGTCTATCAATGCATAAGTTATCAGCATTATCTAACAATGCATAAGTTATCAGCATTATCTATCAATGCATATCAGCATTATCTAACAATACATTAGTTATCGCCATTATCTATCAATACATGATGTCATTGTTTCCCGGCTGCTGTCACTCAGGTCTCACTACATAATATGTTAAATGTGATGCATTATCTGAATGATTGATGACTCCCGTGTCATTTCCTGTCAGGTCTCAAAGGAGGCGGTGGCCCCGGTGGCGGTCCAGATGGCCAGGGCAGCAACTTCACCTCCTACACGTTCCACGGAGACCCCCACGCCACCTTCGCCACATTCTTCGGCGGCGCCAACCCTTTCGAGATGTTCTTCGGACGCAAGGCCAACGGGCGCGGTCCGGGCGGAGACGACGAGGACATGGAGGTGGACGGCAACGACCCGTTCGGCTCCTTCACCTCGTTTAATCTCAACGGGTTCCCTCGGGACCGCCACGTGGGGCTGGGCGGGCAGCAGAGGAGGAAGCAGGACCCGGCCATCCATCACGAGCTGCGGGTAACACTAGAGGAAGTGTTTCATGGTTGCACCAAGAGGATGAAGATCAGCAGGAAGAGGATGAACCCAGACGGACGGACCATGAGGACGGAGGATAAGATACTCACCATAGAGATTAAGAGAGGATGGAAGGAAGGAACCAAGATCACGTTCCCCAGAGAAGGGGACGAATCGCCCAACACCATCCCTGCTGATATCGTGTTCCTCATCAAGGACAAGCCCCATGCGCACTTTAGAAGGGAGGGGTCGGATATCGTGTACCCGGTGAAAGTTAGTCTACGACAGGTGAGATGGGTTTTAGCTTGGCGGACCTTGGCAGCCCACCTTATCAAAGTAAGAGTAAGGGGAAACACTGCCAATAGAAAGTGGTTCAGTGTGGAAAATGCTGTAGACCTGGACATACAGATACAGGTCATGTTCAGTTAGCAGATCGTAGCAAAACATTTTGCAACAGAAAATTAAGATCTGTGATCTTGTTGGTCAAGTTCAAGTCATCCTTCCCAGTTTCACTCCATTTCTCCACATTTTCTCCTGGCCATTGGTCTGCAGAAGGCAGAGATAACATGTGTCTCCCCAGGGTTAAGACTAATGTATTCAGCAACTAAAAAACATTATGATATAAGGAGACTACAATTGCATTGGGAAAGTATTCAGACCCCTTCCCTTTTTCCACATTTTGTTACGTTACAGCCTTATTCTAAAATGGATGAAATTAATTGTTTTCCTCATAAATCTACACACAATACCTGTGATGAGATGAATTTGAAGGAGTCAGGCGCAGGAGGGTAAATCACAGAATAACAGGATTGATTCTGAACCACAGAGTTACGCAGAAATGCGTCAAAACACTCCAGTGCACAAAACAGGCGCACTGGAAAATACAAGGCACACAGGGAATATTCCCGTCGATACAAAATACACGGAGCTCCACCGAGCTTCTCTCTCCTCCACAATAAACAATCACCCACAAAGACCAGGGGGCAGAGGGAACACTTATACAGGTACTAATGAGGGGATATGAATCAGGTGTGTGTAATAAACAAGACAAAACAAATGGAATGATGAGATGAGGAGCGGCAGTGGCTAGAAGGCCGGTGACGACGAACGCCGAAGCCTGCCGGAACAAGGAGAGGAGGGAGCCTCGGAGGAAGTCGTGACAATACCCCATAATGACAAAGCGAAAACAGGTTTTTAGAAACGTTTGCAAATGTATAAAAACATAGAAAAAAATATACCTTATTTACATTATTATTCGGACCCTTTGCTATGAGACACGAAATTGAGCTCAGGTGCATCCCGTTTCCATTGATCATCCTTGAGATGTTTCTACAACTTGATTGGAGTCCACCTGTGGTAGATTCAATTGATTGGACATGATTTGGAAAGGCACACACCTGTCTATATAAGGTCCCACAGTTGACAGTGCATGTCAGAGCAAAAACCAAGCCATGAGGTTGAAGGAATTGTCCTTAGAGCTCCGAGACAGGATTGTGTCGAGGCACAGACCTGGGGAAGGATACCAAAACATTTCTGCAGCATTGAAGGTCCCCAAGAACACAGTGGCCTCCATCATTCTTAAATGGAAGAAGTTTGGAACCACCAAGACTCTTCCTAGAGCTGGCCGCCCGGCCAAACTGAGCAATCGGGGGAGAAGGGCCATGGTCAGGGAGATGACCAATAACCTGATGGTCACTCTGAGAGAGCTCCAGAGTTCCTGTGTAGAGATGGGAGAACCTTCCAGAAGGACAACCATCTCTGCAGCTTCTCAGTAAAAGGCACATGACAGCCTGCTTGGAGTTTGCCAAAAGGCAACTAAAGGACTCTCAGACCATGAGAAACAAGATCTCTGGTCTGATGAAATCAAGATTGAACTCATTGGCCTGAATGCCAAGGGTCACGTCTGGAGGAAACCTGGCACCATCCCTACGGTGAAGCATGGTGGTGGCAGCATCATGCTGTGGGGATGTTTTTCAGCGGCAGGGACTGGGAGACTAGTCAGGATCGAGGGAAAGATGAACGGAGCAAAGTACAGAGAGATCCTTGATGAAAACCTGCTCCAGAGCGCTCAGGACCTCAGACTGGGGCGAAGGTTCACCTTCCAACAGGACAACGACCCTAAACACACAGCCAAGACAACGCAGGAGTGGCTTCAGGACAAGTCTCTGAATGTCCTTGAATGGCCCAGCCAGAGCCCAGACTTGAACCCAATCTAACATCTCTGGAAAGACCTGAAAATAGCTGTGCAGCGACGCTCCCCATCCAACCTGACAGAGCTTGAGAGGATCTGCAGAGAAGAATGGGAGAAACTCCCCAAATACAGGTGTGCCAAGCTTGTAGGGTCATACCGAAGAAGACTCGAGGCTGTAATCGCTGCCAAAGTTGCTTCAACAAAGTACTGAGTAAATAGTCTGAATACTTATGTAAATGTAATATTTCAGTTGTCTTTTTTGCTAAAATTTCTAAACACCTGTTTTTGCTTTGTCATTATGAGGTTTTGTGTGTAGATTGATGAGGGGGAAAAAACAATTTAATCAATTTTAGAATAAGGCTGTAACGTAACAAAATGTGGAAAAAGTCAAGGGGTCTGAATACTTTCCGAATGCACTGTATTATGTTCTGTAATTTACACTGTGACGGAGAGGAGAGGCAACAATACTTCAGGAGAAGTGAGAGACGGACGGCTACTGTAGACAGTAGCTCACTGTGTTAGAACTACTAATATGGTCTGCTCTCTTCTCCTCGCTCCTCTCTCTCTCGCTCTCTCTTCTCCTCTCTCTCTGTCTCGCTCTCTCTTCTCCTCTCTCGTTCTCTTCTCCTCGCTCCTCTCTCGCTCTCTCTCTCTCTCTCTCGCTTCTCCTCTCTCCCTCTCTTCTCCTCTCTCCCTCTCTCTCGCTCTCTCTCTTCTCCTCTCTCTCTCTCTTCTCCTCTCTCGCTCTCTCCTTCGGTCCTCTCTCTCTCTCTCTTCTCCTCTCTCTCTTCTCCATCTCTCTTCTCCTCTCTCCTCTCTCTCTTCTCCTCTCTCTCTTCGGTCCTCTCTCTCTCTCTCTTCTCCTCTCTCTCTTCTCCTCTCTCCTTCGGTCCCGTCTCTCTCTCTCTATCTCTCTCTCTCTCTCTCTCTCCTCCTCTTCTCTCTTATCGTGACTTCAGCTCAGTCGTGTTTTGATTATTTCTAAGAGAAAACAACAAAGTGCCTGTAATGCTGTATGATGTCATGGGTGCATCCCAAACAACTCCCCATTCCCTATTTAGGGCCCATTGGGCTCTGGTCGAAATTAGTGCACTATGTAAGGAATAGGGTGCCATCTGGGAAGCACTTTTGGGAATGTGGTTGTTATTCATGCAATTAAAATAGCTTCACGTTAAATCACAGCCTTGCTTATCAGTAATGGGGCATAGTTTCTGCTTAAAGGAAAAGTCCTATTTTAGCAAAGCACCAAACCAGAAGAACACATGTTCAATCTGTCAAGGAAATCTAACCACAAATCTGGAGGCGATTCCAGACTAATAATAGCTATAATAGCTAGTTACAGTATCTTGTGGTTTGTGTGTATACAGTGGGGAGAACAAGTATTTGATACACTGCCGATTTTGCAGGTTTTCCTACTTACAAAGCATGTAGAGGTCTGTAATTTTTATCATAGGTACACTTCAACTGTGAGAGACGGAATCTAAAACAAAAATCCAGAAAATCACATTGTATGATTTTTAAGTAATTAATTTGCATTTTATAGGAGAATAGGAAAACCTGCAAAATCGGCAGTGTATCAAATACTTGTTCTCCCCACTGTATAAATACATACATACATACATACATATATACTTTTCCTTAAAAAAAGATATACACTTTCCTTTATTACTTTCTAACCCCACCACCCCTCCCCTAACTGTATGTGCACGTGTGTCTGAGTCTCTGTCTGTGTGTTGTCCACTCTGCCAACATGTCAGTGTGTCTGAGTCTCTGTCTGTGTGTTGTCCACTCTGCCAACATGTCAGTGTGTCTGAGTCTCTGTCTGTGTGTTGTCCACTCTGCCAACATGTCAGTGTGTCTGAGTCTCTGTCTGTGTGTTGTCCACTCTGCCAACATGTCATTGTGTCTGAGTCTCTGTCTGTGTGTTGTCCACTCTGCCAACATGTCATTGACTATGTACTCTCTCCTTTACCTCTTCCAGTCGTTGTGTGGTTGCTCTGTGACGGTGTCTACGATAGACGGGAAGACGTGCAACATGAAGATCACTGACGTGATAAAGCCAGGCATGAGACAGACTGTAGCTGGACAGGGCCTTCCCTTACCTAAGAACCCCGAGCAGAGAGGGGACCTGGTGGTGGAGTTTGACGTGAACTTTCCTGAGAGTCTCCCCGCCAACGCCAAGGATGTCCTGAAGAGGCATTTACCTGCATCCTAGAAGAACAGAGACACAGAGACACACAGAGATGGAGACACACAGAAAGACAGACACACAGAGATGGAGACACACAGAGACACACCGAGAGACAGAGACACACAGAGATGGAGACACACAGAGAGACAGAGAGACACAGAGATGGAGACACACAGAGAGACAGAGAGACACAGAGATGGAGACACACACACAGAGAGACAGAGACACACAGACAGACAGAGACAGAGACACACAGAGAGACAGAGACACACAGAGAGAGAGACACACAGAGAGACAGAGACACACAGAGAGAGAGACACACAGAGAGAGAGACACACAGAGAGACAGAGACACACAGAGATGGAGACACACACACAGAGAGACAGAGACACACAGACAGACAGAGACAGAGACACACAGAGAGACAGAGACACAGAGAGAGAGAGAGAGAGACAGACAGAGAGACAGAGACACACACAGAGAGAGACAGAGACACACAGAGAGAGAGAGACAGAGACACACAGAGAGAGACAGAGACACACAGAGAGACAGAGACACACGGAGAGAGACAGACAGAGAGAGAGACAGAGACACACACAGAGAGAGAGACAGACAGAGAGAGAGACAGACACCTGTACGACAGAAAGAAAGGGGTGACATCAGCATGCCAGCTCTCCACTCTCCTCACACATAAGAACAATGATGACTGTTCACAGATAGAGCCCCTTTCTAAAGAATGTGCAATTTATACTTTTTATCTATTTGTTTTTTTGTCTAAATACCATGCATGCTGCAAAGTTGATATACGTGCAAGTAAATGTGTTGATATTTGACAGTAAACATTTGATTATTTGGGTCCTTCCCACATTCACCTCATGTTCCTTTCTCTTATGTTTAATTTGATATGGTGCGGCAGGTAGCTTAGTGGTGAAGAGCGTTGTGCCAGTAACCGTAAAGGTTGCTGGTTCTAATCCCCGAGCTGACTAGGTGAAAAATCTGTCGATGTGCCCTTGAGCAAGGCACTTAACCCGAATTGCTCCTTTAGCGTCTGCTGAATGACTGAAATGTAAATGTAATATGGTGCGTGTCCCAAATGGTACCCTATTGCCTTCATAGTGCACTACTTTAGACCAGGGGAATAGAGGCCCAAAGGGGCTCTGGTCAGAAGTAGTGCACTATATAGGGAATAGGGTGCCATTTGGGAAAGCCATCGTGTGTGCCACGGAATGTAACATTGATTATATACTGGATAATGTAACACAACACAAGGAGATCTGAGGCCACGTTCATGAAGCAAATTACTTGATTTATACTGGCCTCATTGTTCTGGAGAAGATTCACATAAAATGTCCTGAGCCATTAAGACAGCTATAAAGTTGAAACAAAGTACTGTACATATTTTCATAATAAACATTTGTAACTCTTAAGGGCATACGTACTAGACATCTTAACAAATAAAACATTTGGATATCTCGTTTACACCATGGGAAAGAGACCCAATCATTTCAACACACAACTCTGATGATATGTATCTTGAGGTTCTGTAACTACACTGAAGTAGAATAGAATGTCAATACAGCCCAGTACATATAGGGAATATAGCCTGTGTGTGTGTGTGTGTGTGTGTGTGTGTGTGTGTGTGTGTGTGTGTGTGTGTGTGTGTGTGTGTGTGTGTGTGTGTGTGTGTGTGTGTGTGTCCACAGCTGCAGTAACCAACGACTGGCTGGCTGTTAATAACACATAAACAGTGTAACTAACACAGACATGACCTTTCAACGTTGGCCCAGGGGACACCACATCACTCAGCAACAACCACATTTATAGGAGCTGAGTGTGGTGGGCTTTTAACTGACGTGCATCTGAAATTGCACCCTATTCCCTATATAGTACACCCTATTCCCTATATAGTGCACCCTATTCCCTATATAGTGCACCCTATTCCCTATATAGTGCACCCTATTCCCTATATAGTACACCCTATTCCCTATATAGTACACCCTATATAGTACACCCTATTCCCTATATAGTACACCCTATTCCCTATATAGTGCACCCTATTCCCTATATAGTACACCCTATTCCCTATACAGTTGGGTAGGTATGGACAGTTGGGTAGGTATGGACAGTTGAATGGATCCTATATTTGTTTGGTTTTTACTGGGCTCATCGTTTCTGTTTTGAGGTGGATAAATGCCAGCATGGAGCAAATTAGGTAAAATGTAGGGCCTAAACTTGAATTAGGCAATTAGTCGACTTGGCTCATAGAGGAATGAACAAAAACGTATGTATTTACATGATAGTTACATAGACAGGCAGGTACAGTATAATATGTAGGTTTCAGAGTAATTAATTTACATGCATCATTTTAAGGATTTGCTAATAAACTCACAATGGAGATAAAACAATAGATCATTCTAGGGTGAGGGAAGGTAAAATCAATCAATTCAACAATTAAAGTGTACGCAGCAGTGATAACAGTTGTAAGCACTGAGTAACAATAAATGTGTGTTGTTTTGAGTAAAGAAGACTTATGCGGTCACCCGAGGCAACAGGACGGACAGGTGTATGGCCTCTCCTGTATGGAGCATGTCTACAGGGTACCCACCGCCAGAACTCCTGCCCCCACCTAGCCTCCTTTCCCCGCACAGCATATTGAAACGGAGTCGCTATTGTTCACCGCGGACCAGCCAGCAGCCTGTGTATTTGATATAGTGGGCTAGACAGTGGAACGAGGAAGACACGTTCTCCACCAACCTGTTGAATATGACCTACTGTTTAATTAGCAAGTCAGGGTTTAGGTTGACGAGTCACTCACTGTCGGAGAACAAAGTCGAACCTGGGAAAAGGAGAGTCTGTGGAGAGAGGCGAGCTTAGTCGAGGTAAAGACGGAAGGAAGGAGGACTTGTGGAAGCGGTTGTTACTCCGGTGTTCTAGCCGGACAGACAGACCAACGGATTTATCAACCGACCAACGGATTTATTGACGACACCACACAATGCCTTTAGGACTGAGGAGAAAGAAGAACAAGTCGAGAGAGAGCTCGAACCTGGTGGAGAATGAGGAGGTCGGTGGACAGGCAGGTGGCAGCTCCGTGAAGTCGACTGTGAACGGAGCGGGACTCCCACCGCCACCTGCCAACTTGCGGCCCAAACTAGTGTTCCACACTCAGCTAGCTCACGGCAGCCCCACGGGAAGGATCGAGGGATTTACTAATGTCAAAGAACTCTACGGGAAAATAGCCGAGACGTTCAATTTAAGTCAGCCAGAGGTAGGTTTTTACAGCTTTTGTAGTTCTAGACCAGCGGTCACAAACCATTTCTGTGTCAAGGTCCCTTTCTGAGTCAAAATGCAAGCCGAGATCTACCGCTCAAATAAAAAAATATAAAAAACATGACTTAAAAACATAAGAAGCCTGTGCAACATTTACCAATTAAAAACTGTTCTGTAGCAAATAGGTTTGTGCAGCAGGCTATAGGCCCAATACATGATCACTGCATATTGGCTATGCTTGAATTTTCCAGCCAATATTTTTATTCTCAGAACATTCTGAAATTATATTTTGTTTAAATGTAGGTATATGATCACATTGCAGTCTTCCAGCTGGTGGTGAAACTCAAGTCGCACTGCATTATTTCTGACTCATGCACCAATTCATGTTGTTACTCCTATGACCAGAGAAAGTGAAATATTCCTCGATATTAAAAAAAGACACAATCCGCTAATAATAACAACGCAAGTTTATCCGAACACTGGCCAGCGGTATGAAACATGCACTTGACTTGCTCTCTGGTAGGCCGAGTTCTACCTTCAGACACATGAAATTGTTCAAAATGGGAACACTTTGCCAAAATAGGAACCCAAGGCTTTATCGTTTTGTTTTTTTTGGGAGAAATGTTTGGTGATCGACTAGAATGCCTTGGAGACCGATCGACTGGTTGGTGATCATCGTTCTAGACAGATAAAAACGGGTTTTTCTGAATGCCAGGGCAGTGGTGTAGCCAGTTTCGCGGTCGCGCAAGGTCCGAGCAAGGCTATATTTAATACATCATTTTACTGCAGTGGGATAAAACAGGGTCACACATAGTGTTTCTTGATCCTCTTAAACAAATCTACTTTGAAACAAAAGTATACACCTCACACACATGGTTATGGGCTTACAAAAAAGAAGACACCTGTACCATGTCAGATATATAGTTGAAAAGTTGAAATCTATTACATTTTGAGTTTGCATCCCAATATTACATTACATTTACATTTTAGTCATTTAGCAGACGCTCTTATCCAGAGCGACTTACAGTTAGTGAGTGCATACATTATTTTTTTATACTGGCCCCCCGTGGGAATCAAACCCACAACCCTGGCGTTGCAAACACCATGCTCTACCAACTGAGCTACATCCCTGCCGGCCATTCCCTCCCCTACCCTGGACGACGCTAGGCCAATTGTGCGCCGCCCCATGGGTCTCCCGGTCGCAGCCGGCTACGACAGAGCCTGGATTCGAACCAGGATCTCTAGTGGCACAGCTAGCACTGCGATGCAGTGCCTTAGACCACTGCGCCACTCGGGAGGATTACACTTTATATACATCATAGAAGACTGAAATATAACATTTACATTTTAGTCATTTAGCAGACGCTCTTATCCAGAGCGACTTACAGTTAGTGTATACATATTTTTTGTTTTTGTTTTATACTGGCCCCCCGTGGGAATCGAACCCACAACCCTGGCATTGCAAATGCCATGCTCTATCAACTGAGCTACATCCCTGCCGGCCATTCCCTCCCCTACCCTGGACCAATTGTGCGCCGGCCATGAGTCTCTCATTTTTTCAACCACTCCACACATTTCTTGTTAACAAACTATAGTTTTGACAAGTCGGTTAGGACATCTACTTTGTGCATGACACAAGTAATTTTTCCAACAATTGTTTACAGACAGATTATTTCACTTATAATTCACTGTACCACAATTCCAGTGGGTCAGAAGTTTACATACACTAAGTTGACTGTGCCTTTAAACAGCTTGGAAAATTCCAGAAAATTATGTAATTAGCCTTCTGATAGGCTAATTGACATCATTTGAGTCAATTGGAGGTGTACCTGTG